TAACAAGATTTCATCTTTAGAAACTCCAACTTCAGTTCTTAAGTCATGATTATTAAAAGGAAAAGGTGAAAATTTATTAAAAGGAAAAGGTAAAAATTTAGGCATTCTAGATAAATATTATGCACTGTCAATATATAAGGCAAATGATTTTATGTTCCACTGACAAAGGAAAAATGACAGTTTTCTGTTTTTTACAGGCCAACTGTTATTCGAAAAGCCAATAGTTTCTGTGCATGCTTGCTCACATCATTCACTTTTCCTACACATTTTCCAAGATTCCAAACTTCTTTCATGAAAAGGGCCCCACCATCCCATTAGCAGTGTTGCCTTGTATTTGATGTAGAGTGACAAGAAACTACTTGCTTCAATGGGCAAAACTTCCAACACGAATCAGATCCTAATGGAAGGTCCCAAATGCAAGTCTATGATTGTTTCCCCTAAATGTAGAGTGGAAATCCCAATTGGTTATTTGTTAGTGAAATATTTTACTGCAGTTATACTTTTGATAATGCAATATATTGTGAATGGAAAATAGAAGTACTGCCATAGCTTTAGCATTATTCTATATTTCTGCTAATTGATGTATTATCTTTGAGCTAATCAGTGTGCAACAGTGAATCAGATCACAAGATTTTGATTCATGTGGTAAATGTCTGAACTCCTAATCATGGTAGACATGCAATTCTTCAGTGATACAGCTCTTCTCTGTGTTGCTTCCTCCAAACATTTGAGTATATGAATCAAAGTACACTAGATTGTCCCTGTAGCATATTTGTTTATGTCATGACCTTCTAACATATGAGAAAAAATGGCTTCTAAGGATACACAATACCACATTAGGGATCTAGCCAGACAAAGAAAAGGATATTGTTGTTATCAAGGAAAATCTCTCTACATGTCTCTTTCATGCTTTTTGTTTGAAAGATATAATTCTCTTTCATTTGACATTATATTCCATAATAAAGATCTTAATTGCCCCAATGAGATCGGTAAAAAATACATAGACACAAAATGTCACCAGTGGCTTACTACTACAATGAACCGTTGCTCAGAATACCTTAATCACTCATACACATGGATATTGCAGTCATGGAAGTATACCATTTATTCTCTTTGAGTCAACCTCTGCCAATTTCATAAAATCTAATCCCCTATAAAACATAGTTTGCAAAAGAATGTAATACACATACAAGAAACCACGGATGCTCTGTGCAGAAAACCATATAGCTAGATTCCAACAACTTTAAAAAGCAGCACGAATTCAGAAAAGGTAAAAAACCATAAACTGAGGATGTCGAAATTCACTTTCATTGCTTCAAAGTTTTGTGTGAATGGACAAATAAAAAGTATATAGTCTGTCACGGCTTTTAATCATTGCTTGTAAAGAATAATTTCAGTTAAAATCTAACACATCCTACAACTAAATGAACCTTTGGATTCTTCCAATAAAATGAATAAGACCTAAACTTCAAAAATTAAAGATATATAGGAGATTTGCACAATACAAAATCATTACATAAGCACTAACAGCAATCAAAATCACTGCTCCTCAATTCCCAAGTGATCCCAAAGCCCTAGAAATTGTGTACAGAGTCATGCACAACCTAGACCCCATGTTTGTGAAAGAAACACATGATCAAACAACCAAATGGAAGATTTTAAACATACTGAAGCTCTTGATTCTCAGGGTCACTGGACCTAAAGTTTCCCTTTTCTTTTCTTTTGAGTAATCAGCCCTAAAGTTCTTCTTTGTGGCACTAATTTGCAGAGGAAACAAATAGGGAGAATTTGGATCTTCTCATCAGTCACCCAATAGGAAAATACACAAAAAAATTACTTGCACGTCCCATTGATCTCACTGATATTGCTGAAAACTATCAACTGCACTCAAAGTGAAAGTTTTAAGGTATAAATTTCATAACCAAAAGGACATGAATTGACTTGTAACCATTGGACCAAAGGCTATGGCGAAAAAAACTAAGCTTGGAGCTTCAAAAAAATTGCGGATTTCGAATGAGATTTGTTCCATAAATTGCAGAAACGATGGGAGTCTCTCTCTCTCACTAAAAATGGACTTTCTCTCTCTACAATACACTTTCGTATATAAGCGGAGAGGCTTGAGTTTATCGGGACAAAAACTTCAGGACAAACTTCTATTTTTAAGTTCCGTCCAAAAGGACGAAAGTATTTTTAAACGTAAAGAGGAGACTTCTACAGTGATATGAAGTTCTCATATTTAACTTCCTTTTTTTATCAAACATAAACCATGTACAGTCACAGGTAACTTCCACGTTTTGGGAAGTAAGCTCCTGTTATCAAACACTCCCAAAATATTATGTTATTGTGTCTGAAAACACTAAACATCAAATTTAGATCTCTCACCACATAGCTCTGCTAATATTTCACAATAGCGAGCAACTAGGAAGTAACTAGTTTGTTTACATGAATCAGTTTATGGTGTCCCACAATTGCAGTGCCCCTTTAACCCAGATGGTTTTTCTTCCATTGAACTTTTGCGTACTTGGAAATATGTTGTTTGTGAAATACATTACAAGCATAGTGTATTACTGGCATAATGCATTACCTGGAAATGGGGCCTAGGTGAATTTGTTTGATTTGCTCATTTAGTTCATAGCAGGAATGAAGTTATATAGGGATTCATACTTCTAACTAGAGCAACTAATTTTGTCTTAAAATAAAATTTCATCCCAGGCTTCTTTATCTTTTCCCAACTTTCCTGTTGAGTGCAAAAACTACACCTACCACACTTCAAGCAACATACAAGGTTGCAAGCCTTTTCAGTTGCCACTTAGTTATGCTGACAATAACTTGATAGCATTATAATGAGCTGCTTGTAGTAAGAGATGTTTTGTGGCAATCAGGTAGCACTTTCAGCATCTGTACTTTGCCTGCTTGAATTTGTGAACTATCAAAAGGAACATAAAAAAGCTTTGAATGGTTGAAGTTGGATACCCAAAGTATTATATTATTGTAGTTTGAAAACCCTAAACATCAAATTTAGATGTCTCATCACATAGCTCTGGTTATTTTCGCAATAGCGAGCAACTAGGAAGTAACTGGTTTGTTTATGTGAATCAGTTTATGGTGTCTCGCAATTGCAGTTACCCTTTAACCCAGATGGTTTTTCTTTCACTAAACTTTTAACTCCCCCCTTGATTCTACATTTAGGGGCCGTTTGGGTACTCAGAAATATATTGTCTGTGAAATACATTACGTGTAGTGTATTACTAGCGTAATGCATTACCTGGAAATGAGTTTTTGCTGTTTGGGTGGCATCCAAGCACAACCTGGGAAATGCATTGTTGTTGTTTAGCTATGTCTGAAAGAAATATAGGAAATGCATTACCCTTATTTTAGCTTGAAAGTATTGCACAAATTTTACCTATAGTAATGTGAGCTTTTTTATATAGTTCTCAATATTTTTCCTCTTTTAATATAAAATATCAATTAAAACAAAATAGAAAAAAAATTACAATGCTCACACTCATATAGCGACAATGTTTTGAAGACATATATGATACAGTGAAGAAAGCACTGATACTTTCCTGTAAATTTGTAGAGAACACTTACAAAAGGAAGGCAGACTCGTGCATCCAAAAACAAAAAAATTAAAGTAAAATACAAGTAATTTGCAACAAAAATTCCATGCGTCCTAACAAAAATTTCAAAAAAACTAGATATATGTAACTGCCCAACAATTACCCTGCAAATTTGAATTTGCACAGAGAAATAAGAACAAGGAAAACCGGTAATAACCTAATAAAATTCCCACCCTACTATTACTGCATTTTACTCAAGAATTACATCTGAAAAGAAAAATCAGCCAATAAAAATCCTAATCCCAATCAAACTTAGCAAAACACCATATCATTGAGTAAGCACCGCATAAATTACACCCAAAAAAAAAAAATCACACACTATACCAACAGATACTTCAGATTATGATTTAATGATTAAATCATAGACACCCAAAATTACAGAGCTTATTAATATTTTAAGCTAGAAATATATAAAATCGAGGAAACACTGAATATATCCCTGGCTGAGATGGCATTAAACCCAAAAATTGTTTTTCGTCCCTCAGTTGCGATTCCAAAGCCATGCTAATTCGATAGTTCAAGTCCAAATACAAGGAATCTGGTGTAAACATGGAGTAAGGTTCCCCATGACAAAATGAAGATAAGTGAATATTAGGGTTTAGAGAAAGAAAAGGGAAGAGGAGTGAATATTAGGGTTTATAGAGAGAAAAGGGAATAGGTGCACCTGTGTGGAGTACACAAGGTTGCATGTCCAGAGAGAGCGAAGAGAGAGAGAGAGGGGGAGAGAGATGAGAGAGACTTTAGAAAGAGAGTCACTGTTTTATACAGACCTCAAATTTATGGTTTATTTTATATTTTCTAGCGGTTCCATAGGGTTTATATTACCCATCAATCTTGTAATACATTTTTCAGCGATTGGGATGGGTAATAGATTTCACGATTTATGGAGAAATCTTAGGTAATGTGTTTCATTTCTGCCTACTATGTGCGTACCCAAACACTGTAAAAGCAAGAACCCCTAAAAGCCAAATTCTACAGCTGGCATGCTTGCAGTGCTCGGTTTCCTATCACAGATTGGAATTGACCTCCTTAATGGTTCGATTCATATAAAGTATTTTTGATCTACCTATGGTTTTTGTATAGGGCACCCATTTGTGAGTAGCCTATATTTTTGGGCGGAGCCCGTCTGTGGGCATCCTGCCCCCATCTTTTCGCACATTCCATACTCACTTTAAGTTTATTACAGTCAACATATTAAGAAAGAAATTCATTTTTGCCTTTTTTGTATCTTTTTTGTTTAATTAGCTTGGAAAAATTCGGCATTCTTAATATTTTGCACATCTTTTGACTAGTTTTTTCTTAATCTTGATACTTTTACAGCATTTTCATTATTCTTCTAATTGCATTTACCCTTTTCTGGTGGTTGTGAACATTTTGCAGGCATGAGATTTTGTTTGTCAACTTCTATGCTCCTTGGTGTTATTGGAGTAATCGTTTGGTAATCTTGGTTCTCTAACTCTTAACAGTCAAGCTGGACTTCATGTGTTGTGGCTCTATTTTGTATTCACTACAAATCTTAGTTATCTAGACGTTCAGCTCTATTTTGTATTCACTGCAAATCTTAGTTATCTAGACGTTCAGTTCATGCACATGTTATGTAAAGTATCGTTCTTGAAGTCTGCCATGGATTGACTTGAAGTTTTCCAAAGGAATATCTAAAATGTGAAGATCTTTCACTTTAAGCATTTATCAAGTGCAATGGAGGAGTTTTGAGGATGGTTGTTTAAACCCTTTATGTAGAGGACTTTGCTTATGATGCAGTCACTATTATTTAGATATTTGAAGGCATGCTTTTGAGTTTTACTCTAATTTGTTCTATGGTCAGTATTTTGGTATCTATTGCTGCAAAATTTTTACTTTAGTTTGTGTTTTCAGAAACCTTCATGGGAGAAGGCAGCTAAAATAATAAAAGAAAGGTAATTTCTCTCCTCTCATTGTTTGCTTGCTTCACAATCTTAACATGTTTCTAGTAGAAAGCCACCTGAATACGGAATTAACCGACTGAAATCTTTTCTTCAGATATGATCTTGAAGAAGATGGGCGGATTCTTGTAGGCAAAGTTGATTGCACTAAAGATATTGAGTTATGCAAGAGGTATGACCTCCTAAATCGCGTTTACTTGTAGTTTGTTTTGTTAGTGGGAAGGTCACTCTATATTCTACTATTGAATGAAAATTATTTGAAGTCCTATGTTCTGCTTTCTGGTTTTATTTTATTTGGAATGGCTGCTTGACAATTGCTTGCGCTTCAGCGACACATCTTTTGTGTTTGTGAAATAATTAATTATTAGGTTTTGTGCAGCCATCATATCCAGGGGTATCCATCGATTAGAATTTTTCGCAAAGGAAGTGATGTAAGGTATCTTATTATTTTACTTTTCGTATTTATAGTAACTTCTCGCCATTTATGCATCATAATCTGATCATTCCTATGTAGTCACTATCTTTCAGTTTATCACACTGTCTTGGTGCAAATAATTGTAAATTATCAAAAAATGTATAGAGCTAGTGCATATAAGTTTTTCAACATCTCAATATTATCCTTGTAATTTTGCATAATAATTACTCATTTTCCTTGTTTATTTATCTTTCTTCAAATATGCTATAGCTATGTGGGAAGAACTTTGACTAACATGGATGTGATTTATAATCGATAAAGAAAAAAGGAGAAAAAGATATCGATGTGATGTATCCAGATTAGATATAATTGTGAACAATGAGTATTATACTTTGCAATTTAATGATTATTCTAAGCACTAAGCTATTTGCATTGTGCAAACATTGTTGATTTTGACAATGTCAACCTTAGTATATAGTTGTAGGTTGACCTTGGATTATAGGCTCTGTCGTCGTCGTCATCATCATCATCATCATCATCATCGAAACCTTATTCCAACTATTTGGGGCCAGCTATATGAATCCTATTTTGGCAATCCTCTATCATGGGCCATACCCTCAGTCAGACCATTAGTCACCATATCTTTTCTCATTACTTCCATCCATATTCTTTGGGGCATTTCCCTTGTCCTTTTAGAGCCCACTTGAACTAAATCACCGGTTCCAACTGGTGTTGTTCTAGGTTGACTTTGCACATGATCAGACCGCTTAAGTCTACTTGTCGCCTATTGGAGCTATCATTAAGTTTCCTCATGTGGATTTCTTCCGAATTCTATCATTCCTTGTCTTGTCACTCATCCATCTCAACATCCTCATCTCAACGACACTCATTATATGGATATGTTATTTCTTGACTTGTCAATATTCCGTCTTATAAAGCATGACTGGTTTTATAGCCATCCTATAGAACTTTACCTCAAGTTTTATTGGTATGTGACCTATAGAACTCTCCCTTAAGTTTTATTGGTGTGTGACGATTACATAAGACTCGAAAAGCACATCTCCACTTCGTCCACCCCAAAGTTACTGAAATCTCTTTGCCCAGGTTTCGATTCTGCATCAGAATCCTGATTCGGCGATTTCGATAAGGGATCTTTACGGAACCCGTTTCCTTGAAGCCAGATTCCTTATTTTAGGAATCTCGATTCAAAACTTTTTTCGAATCTCTATCCCAACATTTATGGAATCTCGATTCCAACTTTTTTGAATCTCGATTCCAATATTTATTGAATTTTGAGTCCACATTTGTGATTCTCGACTCCACATATAATGATATTCGATTCGATTATTTTTTGAATCCAGAATCCGCAACATCAAGAACTTTGCTTCGTAGGTGCAAGAACGAGGCAACTACAATTCAATCAACATGGAATCTTCTCGATCTGAACTTTTTTGTTATCCTTATTTCACTAAATCAAGTATTGTTGTTCATAGGTGCACAAAACTGTGATTCGTTGTATTTGTAATCTCACCCCTAATATTTATGGATTTTGATTTCATTTATTTGGAAACCTGATTGGATATTGTTTCCCATGGTTTATAGGTGCTCCAATTAAAAATCCGATGAACGCAGTGCTATAGTATTTGTAACACGTATCAACTTTCAAATGCAAATGTTTCATTGTATATGATTCTACTGTCTTTTGCAATTAAGAAAGGCAGGTATAACTAGGCTGTTGGAGCATTAGGTACATTATCACTAGGTACATAGCCCTCGGTACGTATGGTATTTCAGACAGCACCGTCATTATCACTAGGTACATAGCCCTCGGCACGTTGGTATTTCCACTATTTTTTTTTATTTTTATTTGGAGAACTGATGTTTACTATGCCAAAGTATTTTTGTTTTGTTTTGGAGAACTGATGCTCACGATATCAAAGCATCAAATTACTTGAGCTAGACGCCCAATCTCAAGTTACAAGATGCAATCATCTTTTTGTCACGTTTTTGAGAACAAATGACCAACAAAAATCAATTGGCCTATGTTCTTTATAGAATGATTTCATTAAGTGTACATTGTAATGATCCATTAGAGACTATTGGCATTAGCACATAGACAATACCATGGCACAAACAAAATCCTATTTTGAACTGTAGTAATGAAATCAAAATCACATTTTAGAAATCCATGAGATAATATTTGTATCTTTTATAGACAATTTCCTCAGTGGACTACCAATTTACTCTAAGCTCAATAGTCAATACATTGACTTCAAATCTAAAACCCCTTCTTTAGGTCTTATAGGCCTCTAGTCTCGATTGCTTAATGAGGTTCTGAGTTGATAAGGCGTGAAATGTGGGAATCTTGATTCTAAAAGGGGTTGAAACTCAACGCCATAGAGTTACAAATCTCGATTGCCAGGAGGGCGAAACTCGATTGCCAACTGATGTGAATCTCGATTCCAAATCTGTATAATCTTGATTCCAAATACCTCAGTAACACGATTCCAAAGATGTCTAAATCGAGAATCACGATCCCATATATGAAGGAATCTCAATTCCATGTGGATCGATTTTGAATATGTCGGAATCTCGATTCCAAAGAGGTCAGAATCTCGATTCCATGTATGTAAGAATTTCGATTCCATTTGGGTTGAATCTTGATTCCTATGAAGTAGGAATCTCATTTCCCATGAGTCCCCTTGTATGGACGTCGATTATGAAAACATGAATAATCTATCCATCTGTGACTCCGAGATTCCGATTCCCAAAATGATTCGAAATATCAGGTGTTTCCAACAACTATGGTTCACCCAACTCTAATTTTATGAGCAACATAGTCCTTAATCTCTCATTTCTCCTGGCTTACTGACCCTGGATAGCAAAAATAATCTCTTATATGTACTTCTTGGCCATCAATCATAACTAATTTATCGTTTTTGTCCCTATTGTTATCAAACTTGCATTCCATATAATCTTAGTAAAATCAAGAATAGCATTCCCATGATTCCCCTTGTATGTTCATCTTGGTTTTTAAAATAAGTGTTTGTTATTTTTTCATCATTAGCCATAGTAAAATCAAGAATAGCATCACTAATCTCATTTTTTGAACCAAATCCTCTTCAATGTACCTTTTCATATCTTCTACCATCTATTCCTACATGACCATTTAAGTCCCCTCGTAAAAGTGTCCTCGCTCCATTTGGTATTTCTTGGACTGGTCCATCCATGTCCTTTCAGAATTGTCTTTTTAATTCTATCATCTGATCTTACCTGTGGCGCATGAGCATTAATTATAGTAATTGTTTCCTCTCCTAAGACAAGTTTAAGTATTAACAGCCTATTACCTACTCTCTTGGGATTTCTACTACTTTATCTGTTACATCTTGGTCTATCATTATACTTACGCCATTTCTATTGTTGTCCTTTGCTATATACTAAAGTTTATATCCGTCAATTTTCTCGACTTTTACCCCATTCTACTTACTTTCTTGCAAACACGCTAGGTTAGCTCTCTTTCGTCTCCTTGTATCTACTAACTCCATATTCTTACCTATGCTTCCTAAACTGTGCTTGCCTAAAATGGCACGGATATCCTTGCTTACTTATAGTGATTCAAAAAGCAGACCGCCCAGCGCCTAGGCGGTCCAGAAGACCTAAGCGTATCGCTCAGGCCTAGGCGGCCAATCTGGGCGGTCGATCCTTGGGCGGCCGCCTGCGCGGTACGGAACCCGCCTAGGCGGGCGCTCAGGGCCCAGCCCTGAGCGGCCGCTCAAGGCTTGCGCCTTGCCTTGGGGTGGAAAAACCATTCAGTAAGGGCATTTTTCATCTTTTTTTATTTTTTTTATTTTTTTTATTTTTTTATTTTTTTAAAGGCAAAAAATTAGGGTTTTTGGTTCATTTGAAACCTAAAACTTGTTGGAGCCAAATTTAGAGAGAGAAAGCCCCCAAAAAACTAGATTGTGGTGAACGTTTTAAGATCGAAGGGTAACTCAAAGTTACTCAAACTAGATTGTTTTCTTCGTCATGGTGGTTTACTGCAGTACTGTTGTGATACTATTTGATAACTTGGTTTGATAATTTGGTTGGTTGGAAAATTTTAAGTTTTAATTGGATATGGAGGATGACCCGACTTATGGATTATGGTTATGCTTATGGAGTGTATGCTAAATGCTAAATATGTAGTATAATTTGAATTATGTACTGCAATACATGTAACTGATACTGACATAACTGCAGAATGCCAGAATCCTTATTTGGATTCAACTGGGCCGCTCATGTTCTGAGCGATCGCCTGGGCGCCTGCCTAGGAGCTGGGCGACTCGCCCAGGACCCGCCTAGCGCTTTTTGAAACTATGCTTACTTATCACCACAACCAGGCATTATTGCGACATGTCGCTTCCAATGAGTGCCCTAGCTAACCCTACCTCATTTCTCAATGCACCCAGGTGCTGGTTCAGTGTGTTGCTTACAGGGAATGCCCTTATATGAGCCTATAACGTTGGATTAGAATTTATTATAGGGATATGGTAAAAGGTTTTTGCTGGCTGTCAACCTAAAAACAACCCTCCTTTCTCATCTAGGCTTGGGACTGGCAATTTGGAATTTGGAATATAAGCTCTACCAAGAGGACTAATATGTGTTCAACAAAATGTATAAATGTATCTTAATGACCCTTATATGACATATCTGGTGTATCATTAGAATGATAAGATATATCATCCTGTTTATACAATGTAATATAGTTAATCGGGCTGTTGGTCTTATAAGTGAGACATGTGGTTTACAAAAGAGAGGTGTTGGTTTGAGACTCCCTAATGCCAAGTTGATCTTTCTAAGAAAAAAGACGTGCATACAAAGTACATGTGCTTTGTTGTATAGTATTTTTTTCATATCCCTTCAAAATTTCTATTATTTAAGAATTCCCCTAAAAGATTCCGCTATTATATTCATACCCATTTTTTCACACTTTTTTGAAATGACCAAATTTTCCCTACTTTGTACCTTCGAGGTTCAAAGTTTAAGTTTTTTGTATTGGTTTAAAGAAAAAAAAAACACTTCGAAAAAGTTGAACTTCAGAACTTCAAGGTCCGAGTTTATATTTTTTGTATTAGTTCATGAAAAAACACTTCAGAAAAGTTAAAACTTCAGATATTCAAGGTCTGAAGTTTGTTTTATCTATCTTACAAAAATCAAACTTCGGATCTTGAAGGTTGTAATAGGAGCAATTTGGTAATTAAAAAAACCAAAAAATGGGCAGGAATGTCAAAACTGTAGTTTTTTTGGGGAAGTTTTAAGTGAATAAATATTTGGGGGTATGCTCGTAAATTCCCCTAAATTTTTTATTTATCTAAGATTGACAATTGAATTGTACTTTTAAAATGGGAAGAACCTCGGGAAAAATGAGGGCAGGACCCTAGCTGTTTTCAATAAGTTCAAAAGATCAAGTTTCATAATTTGTAAATGATCAGATAATTTGTAAATGATTAGTTCAATTTATTTTGATAAGTGGCTGCTTATTGGATATTTTCCATGAACTCCTTTCTTCAATGCTTGGAATTTTCTCTATAGATTATATTCTTGCCTTCATGCATTTCCAATGTTGGCTAGACACAGTTTGTCTTCCTCTTTCAATTTGTTTCTGTTTTAGCAATATATACACTCATTTGTTTCATTTTTTTTCTTCTAGATTATTAATCACATTGGTTTCAATAATCAAAACGGTAGTGTCTAACTCAGGGACAATCATGGGCACCATGACCATGAATCATATTATGGAGACCGAGACACAGGTAGCCTAGTTGCGGTAAGCAGTTAACTTAAGATTATGACATGCCCTGTTTATATATTTTTGCAATTTCTTCTCTCTTTTCTGAGTTTTGAGGCCAGCTTTGGTTGGGTATTATCTGTACAATTTGCACGCCATTGACTGTATATGAGGACCACAATAAATAAGTCGGTTACATGCTTCCCTTGCAGACAATGGAGTCACTAGTTGCTCCTATACCATTGGAATCACATAAACTTGCATTGGAGGACAAATCCAACAGAACTTCAGATTCAGTCAAGCGTCCTGCACCATTGACAGGAGGATGCAGAATAGAAGGATTTGTGCGTGTTAAGAAGGTAATATCTCATCGTTAATGTAATTTTGCTTTTGACATTTCTAATTGATAGTGAGCATTTTGAGGGGTAGCTATATACAGATGCCTTTTTTATGAATTGCAGCATTCTTGAAAGCAATATCAGATTTTTTCCTTTTTTGATTGTAGAATTTCATTGTGCATGGCATTAGTTTCAGTCATCGAGGCATTCTCATCTGAGTTACCTTTGAGATTTGTAAGATAGTTTACTCGCTAGGATTAGTCATTGCGGCAGAACAAATTCTTCCATATGATGTTTATTGCCTACACTTTCCATTGCCATACCTGCTCCAGTGGCACTTTACCTTCATTCATCCTCTTCAACATCAAATTTTGTACTCTCCATGTCTACTAGTTTCAGCCTCTTCTGTTGGAGCTACTTACATGCCTAGAAGAGGTTCTTGAAGTTCTTTCCAACACATTGAAACCTCCTTAGTAACCACTTTTGTGATGAACATCATCTGTGTCTACCAGATCTACCTGACATACCTCCCTCTAACTTGTCCTCTCCTTTTCATTCTTTTTCAGTATTGCATCTATTCTCTTCCCGTCCTGCCAGCGCACGTCCTCTTTCTACCTCTCTTGATGAATTGTTTCAAGGGTTTATGTTGCACTTCCTTTTAATTTCATCAACCTAGCATCTGTGCATTTCTCGTGCAATTGAGATTTTTGGCTTTATCGTCACCTTTTATAGGATATATCATCAATAACTACCCTATGCTAATCTCTGGAAGTTTCTACTGAAGTATTTCCTCCCTATCCTCTCACTCTTTGGTTATGTGCATTGCCCCTAATTCTTCTCCCCTGCTTCCATTGTTTTGGGTCCCCAGAGGAAGTTGCCAGATCAAATATGGGCTATATCAATTACAGTACCTACCTCACTTCAAAAGCGTACTTGATCATGAACGAGTTCCACTGCTTTCTCTTTTATACTGCTCTGTTGTGCCTATCCTTGTTCCGCTGTTTCTCTGTGAAAGGCACTTCCTATAAACCGAGGCTTAGATGGAGCCAATAGTAGAAAAGCAATATTTGCCAAAATTTATCAGGTCCAATCTGAAGCCCTTTCGGCTAACATGGACTCTCAATGAAGTATAAATACATCTGACCAAGTTGTGTGCATAGGCAAATTAGTATTACCTAAATGGAACTTTCATCTCCTGATTTCTTTTCGCCTTAGTCATAATCACTATCCATAGAGGAGGTAATAGTAGACATTTATGAACATTTTATTATTATTTTCCATGTGCAGGTCCCTGGGAACCTTGTCATCTCAGCTCATTCAGGAGCCCATTCATTCGATGCCTCCATGATGAATATGTCGCACTATATTTCCCATCTTTCATTTGGTAAAAGACTTTCATTGAGCATGATTTCTGAAGTAAATCGTCTCTCACCTTATGTTGGCGGAAGTGTCGATCGACTGACAGGAAAGTCATATATGACAAACCAAGGAGATGCTAATGCCAATGTTACTGTGAGTTGCATATGCTTTCATGCTTTTACGTCTTATCTATTTGAAATGATTGGTAATCTTATATTATTCTCTTCTGTTAAGCAAGAATTGATAATGACTCAAAAACTTGCTATAGATTAATTAAGGTCGTAGCTATGAAATTATCACTACCAGGGAACTACCCCATCATATTGAATTTCAAAGAACCATTGTTTAAAAACTTGGCTAGTTCGATTCCTACTCCTGTGAGTCACTCGGAACTAGCACCCTGCCAGTTCCAAATGATCATGTCTCCGGCCCAAGTGTTGACTGAGTGTTTAGGAAGCCCAGTGATTCTGGTCCAAGTCTTGACCATTTAGACTTGGGATTTGACGAGCTGATTCGGATGCACCCCCTGCATGGTTCTGTCCCCAGTTCTATGTTTTTAAACACTGAAAAGAACTCATAAGCTGTTAGATTAGCAACATCCATGTTTCTTATAGTGATGGTAGTCTCCAAGTTGAGCCCTGTAAAAAACTGACTCATCACATGAAGAATCGGAGCAAAGTGACCAAAGGAGGCATGCTGGAGGCCATATCCACCCTTGATCATGCTATTGTTGGGTGTGTTTTCAGTCACATACAAGGACCAGATGCATTTTGATACTGATATAATAGCCAAGCTTCATATAAGGCTTCAGGAAATACCCCATGTGACACAAATATGTAATATGATCAAGATCCATCATATGAAAGGCTTGATATGCCTAAAGGAGTCTTGACTCGTGGGTTAGTCCTTAAAAATCGTAACCCACAACTGATAATGCCAAAAGCTTGTCAGACATATTCAAGGTTGACATAAATGGTGAAGCCATCTCTTTTTGAGACAAGTTCTAGGATACATATACTCCTAAGGTTCTATGTACGCCTATCCATGTGATACATGGAGAGATAGATACGACTTAATATTGGCATCCATTATTGGTTATGCGCATGTGCCATAACTTGCGACCAATGATAAGAGATCATGAAGATGTCTCTATTTGAGATGGAACTCCGGAATGCATATGTTCCTTGGCACAAAATGCCTCTCAACTGGATATTGGAGGAGTTCTGGGTGAGATGTAATGTGAAATAATGGGGTTTGGACTGATGGAGCTTAAAGAAAACCTCGTCATGATATATTGAGGTGAATTCCTAAATATATTAAGGCCTCATGTGCCTTAAGGTCCAAGAGTGATATGACTTGGGTGATATTTGGACCTGGCTTAACCCATGTCTGTATCCACTGTTAGTTCGGATATGCCCTAACTGACATCTCGAAGCTCGATGCCTTTGGGATCAAATTGAGACTCTCAGGAAACCATTTTGAGGTGTTGTGACCCTCTTCTTGAAGTTTCGTATTAGTTGGAGGTTGGATAGCTCGACGGTTGGAGCTTTAAAGCTCCATGTCTTGTGCGTTCCAGTCATAACAACTTTCGACTATTGATATTGTAATTTCTCTTTTAATGTGAGGAATTTTCCAAGAAATCAGGACCGTTGGATCCTCTATCTGATCACCCTTACAAGGTATGGAAATGTTTTATGCAAGAAGAAAAAAGTATATTCAGCGGGGGCAACAGAAATGCGAGTCAACGAGTAATAAAAAGGGAGGATATGTCCCGATCTTCCTCATCAGACAACTCGATTGATCTGCACAATTCGAATGATCTGCGAGATTGCATATTTAAAATTCAAAAAAGAGATGGTTGGCCACATCAGATGGGCATGAGTTTGAATCCGCGAATGGTTAAAGGGTTGGCCACCAAGGATAAGCACAAATTCAAAGTTTTCACGTGAATGAGATCGGGGTTAAGAGATTACCCGCACTTTTTTAACTCGCATGAAACTTTGAAGTTCAAATTCAAATCCATGAAATCCGTTCACTTGAACTAAAAGATTAGCTCACAAATTCGAATTCACGTAGAAGACAAGGACAAAATGAAGATCCAGCGTGAAGGTGAGGAAGAAGATAAACATTATGAAGCAACGATGGAGATAATATTGGGTGGTTATCAAAGAAAGATTGAACGTTATCATCTGAAGAAGGTTATAAAAGGCAGGTGAATAGATGAGAAAGGGGGTTCACATATTTTTTCCTGAAGATAGGTATTCTTTGAGAGAACATATATCATAGGTTGATTAAATATTGAGATAGAGTGAGAGAAGAGATAGAAAAGATAAAAAGAAATTGATTCCGTGCTCTGAGATACCCGCTTGAGGCCTGTTTTTCGAAAGGGACAAGGACGTAGGATTAGCATCCCTGCTATAGATCAGGTATATGGGCTGATATCCTATCCGATGTTATCTCTTTGTATATATTTGTACGTCTTGTTCTGTTAGAAACAAATGTATGTCTTAAGGCTATGATCAAGGATTGTTGGCCTTATTTGATTTTGATCGCATTATTTAGTCGATGTAAATTGTAACAGGGGATTAGCCTCTTGGAACTTTTCTGTTCCCAGTATATAATATGAAAAAACATGTGTTTTCTATGATATGGAATGCATGGGTGAATTTTGCCCCGAATGTGTTGTCCTCTGATAAAGCATTTAATTGGAGTCTTAACATGTTTTAAACTATATTGTCTTTTTAAAACATCAAATGCTCCATTTTCGTACGACAATGCAATATTCGGAGCGTTCAAATCTCTGGTGTCTCCACTGGGGAATAGTTCACCCTTCGTCTCTAGCAGGGTATAGGAGGGACATATATCCTTGGTTCTCTCTCATAATCTCACTTCCTGATCAATCTAACGAGTGATCCCCTGTGTTATTACATACGTCGTCAAGCGATTTCGATGGCTGCGATAATGACCTCCTTTCAAGTCGGCGCTATAGAAGTTTCGCTAAACCTCCCCTCACCCTGGGATCATACTGTCGTTGCTGATGATCACGACAACCTAGGAACTACAACACGAAAGGCCGCAGTCCACGAGATGAGCCCCTAGGTGGCTTTAGTCCCAGGTGTTAAGCCACTGACCATAGTTCTTACTTACCTTGGCAAAAGTCAAGGAAAGGGGAGTCACGGCGGTGCTATCGATAATCACGCTTAGGACCAGACACCTTTAGTGCATTATGCGAATCCCACTACCTTACCTGATGGGTACAGTCTTGGCACGGTTCCCTCAGGAGGTTTGAAAAGAGCCATGGCTTCTGAGCTTTTTGGCCCCCTCCTTACAGGGTCTTGTTTTTCGCTGTTGGGTACGCTGATCGTGCACTCAGTTCCGACTGCTGTACAGCCTGGCGGTAACACCGGCCCACATCCTAAGTACTTTGATAATCCATCGGCGGTTGGTCTTCTTAGTGTTACCAACCCCGTCGGCATCTTAAGTACTTTGGTAATCGATCGGCGGTTGGTCTTCCTAGTATTACCAATCCCACTGGTTCGCATCCTAAGTACTTTGATAATCGACCGATGGTTGGCCTTCCTAGTGTTACCGGCTCGCCTCCCAAGTACTTCAATAACGATCGGTGGTTGGTCTTCTTAGTGTTACCAACTCCACCGGCTCGCATCCTATGTACTTTGATAATCGATCGACAGTTGGTCTTTCTAGTGTTACCAACCCCACCGGCTTGCATCTCAAGTACTTCAATAATCGACTGACGGTTGGTCTTTTTAGTATTACCAACCCCACCTACTCGCATCCTAAGTACTTCGATAATCAATCGGTGGTTGGTCTTCCTAGTGTTACCAACCTCACCGGCTCGCATTCTAAGTGCTTTGATAATCGACTGGCGGTTGGTCTTCCTAGTGTTACCTACCCCACCGGCTCGCATCCTAAGTACTTCAATAAGCGACTGGCGGTTAGTCTTCTTAGTGTCACCAACCCCACCGGCTCGCATGCCAAGTACTTTGATGATCGACTAGCTGTTGGTCTTCCTAGTGTTACCAACCCTATTGGCTCGCATCCCAAGTACTTTAGTAATCGACCGACAGTTGGTCTTCCTAGTGTTGCCAACCCCACCAGCTGGCATCCCAAGTACTTTGATAATTGACCAGTGGTTGGTCTTCCTAGTGATACCAACCCCACTTTCTCGCGTCCCAAGTACTTTGATAATCGACCGACGGTTGGTCTTCTTAGTGTTACCAACCCCATCGACTCGCATCCCAAGTACTTTAGTAATCGACTGGCGGTTAGTCTTCTTAGTGTTACCAACCCCACCAACTCGCATCCTAAGTACTTCGATAATTGACCGACAGTTGGTCTTCCTAGTGTTACCAACCCCATCGACTCGCATCCCAGGTACTTTAGTAATCGACTGGCGGTTAGTCTTCCTAGTGTTACCAACCCCATCGGCTCACATCCCAAGTACTTCAATAATCGACCGGCGGTTGGTCTTCCTAGTGTTACCAACCCCACTCGCTTGCATCCTAAGTACTCCAATAATCGACCGGCGGTTGGTCTTCCTAGTGTTATCAACCCCACCGGCTTGCATCCCAAGTACTTCAATAATCAACTGGTGGTTGGTCTTTCTAGTGTTACCATCCCCACCGGCTCGCCTCCTAAGTGCTTTGATAATCGACTGGCGGTTGGTCTTCCATGTGTTAACAACCCCATGGACTCGCATCCTAAGTACTTTAATAATCGATAGGCAGTTGGTCTTCCTAATATTACCAGCCTCACAGGCTCGCATCCTAAGTTCTCCAATAATCAACCGGCGGTTAGTCTTCCCCGTGATAGTAACCTTGTCGGCTCGCACCATTTTGCTCACACCCCAACTGTTGTACATCCTCATGATGTCAACCCCCCCTGTCTCAATTGTCTTAACTGACCACTTGTGGGTACCAATACTCGGAGCATTGACCGCCCCGGGATCGTTCATCCCCGGACAGTTGATAGTTTTCGAGATCTCGACTTGCGTAGCCTAAATCAAAGTGATGGTAAGCCTCCCTATACCTTCAAAGCATGGTTGAAGAAATATATGCGAGCCTAGAAGGCGTATCTCCAAGCTGTTCTTAAGCAGGCACGAGAGGTCCTTGATCAATACGTTTGCGAGAACC